ATTATTGAATGTCAAGTACGAGTACATTGTTGTAGAACTGTCAAACAATTCCAGAAAAGCTGCAGGCCCAATAGCCTTCTGCAGGAACTAGCAGTTATATCTGCCTGGAGGGCAGGTATTTCTGCTAGTAGCATTAATCCTTGTACTTTTATAAGCATTATGCTGGTGTTACATAGTGTAATTAGTTGGATGACAGGCAAACACAGTGTGAATTATCAGCATGCAACTACAAGCTGGTGCATTCCATTTTTCTCATATGATGAAGGGAGTGCAATTCCATAAATATTTACATTTTATACCCATTTTATTCACTGTTTCCTTAATTTTCAATACTATATAATGAATATGCACACACACTCACATACACACATACAAACAGCATTTGAGGCTAGATTTAGCACTCAATTTTATTCCACAGAATACAACAGGTCACACTGAATAAAAAATTCCATACCATGACCATCTACAGCAGTCAATTTTTAACAACATCAATTGATGGTTCACCTGCTTTCTCACTAACATATATACATATTTAATATTCTTTCAGCTTAAATGTAGATCCTCTACCAACAACATACAAGGTAAAAAAAGGTGAGAAAATGCACAATTTGACTAACATACATATTCATGGTCTATGAAATGCCTATGTAGTATTAAAAACCTCAATTCTCATAAAGTAAAATAAGGTAAAATTGAGAACAGTTACAATGTGAGGGTATTTGTATGTAAATTTCCTGGACATTCAACAATCCTTCCAGAGAGAGAGATCCCAACAACTTATGAGTATTCTGTATCTTGAAATAAAAAACTGTTAAAAACTGATTGAGAGGAGATAAATTGAAATTTTGGCACCAAAAACTCCCACTATTAAAGAGAAATGAGATCAAAAATCAAGATCTGGGTTTAACTTCTTTACAAAATTAAGCAAACTGTCTGCTGGATGATGGAAAGCACGAGGTAACAGAGAGAAAGTAGGTTATGTATATTTCATTAGAAATTAGTTTTCCTCGAAAGCCTAAAAATCCAGAATATCTTTTCTCTAAAATGTCTTCCTTCCTCAAACCCCAAAGTGCCATAGAAGAAAAATAACAAGAAGATTCACTGATCCTGTATTAAATTGTTTTCAGAGAAATATTGAAAAGGAATCCAGGCATAATTTATGCTAAAAATAGCCTGTGGTATCAAAATTTGTCTGTTTTTGACCCAAAATTCACTCGTAGAATAAGACCAAGAGGAAAAGCAACACACAAGACAAAGCTGCTGAAATAGAAACTATAAGAAAAGAAACAACTCAACAGTTTTCTATGTGTAGACTCAGCCTGACACTGGAGTTATGGACAAAAAAGCACTTAAGGACATAAAATAACAAATCCATGTGGACAAATATTTCCTCATGAATGCCAAAAGAAAAATGAGATTAAGCTCCTCAATCTTAATGTTGATAAATGTAATGTAGCTAAATGAAATGGGGCCCATCACGTAGTAGGTGATGAAGTAAAACTTGCAAAGAAAAGCAACCTCAGATAAAGAAGACTGGTGAATATGGAGGGGGGGGGAGGATTGGAGTTACAATAAACATTCTGACCATAATTCATGGATATACAGAAATGACTACTGAGTTGGCCAACGAATGGCCAACAAACTCAATTAACTTAGGAACCGAGTCTATCGTGCATTAATTCCATTCCACTGATATGGTGAATAGAGCTGGGTAATAGTTGTTATTCAATTAGTTGATGACCCAATACATACAAAATATATAGTATTTATTTATTTTTTAAGAGACATGTTTTCAATAAAAAAATTAAAAACTCCAAAATAATGGAATTTCCATAAGTTTTACACTACAGCTCGATTCAAGCTAAATACTTGTCCGATGAATAGGGCTAGTTACCCAGCTATGATTGGTCTCTTAGTGGTCTATTAGCAAAGGCTGTATTAACTACTATGGCAACAGATTTTCAATTTGGTGCAAAAACAATTATGGGCTGTTCATGCTAACAGACCACTAACAACGTTTTCAGATACACATTTTCAACATTGCCGATAGTCCACTAATAGTTTTTAGATTCACATTTTCTTCATTGCCGATAGTCCACTAATATTTTTTAGATTCACATTCTCTTCTTGACATACCTTACAGAATATTAAGCCACCATCTTCATCATAGTGTAACCAGTTGTTATCCCTCTCCTATTCATTCCTGTAATGACTTTTCATCTTTTTCCTTTTCATACTCACAGTCTCATTGCCTTCTTTTCTGTTACATTCTTTTTCAGATAATCAACATTTGGCTCTCTCTTCATTTAAAAAAATTTTTAACTTTGGGTGACTTTTATGATGTGTTCTCCACGACTTTGACTGAACATCTTTTGACAACACTGGTCTTTCATATGTACACTCTTATTCGTAAGTGCAAAGTCCATTTGCAACAACGTGTTGATATCTACAAGATGTAGATGATGCCAAAAAGAATTATTTCATTATTTATTTTGATTAGAAAAGGACACTAATTTAAGTTTAACTCCTCACCAACTAAGCCATTTTAGAGTTATTTGCACATGTTGCTAATTTGAGGATTTTGATTATTAAAAATTAACTAATTAACAGCTGCTTCAGGATATAAAAAACTGATAAAGAACTGATTGCTATAAAGTTAGTGGTAATGTAAATTGTATGATTTTTCCATCTCTCCATGAAAAGTGTTGGATATTTTATTGACAAGTATGTGTCAGTTAGATGGTAATGGATTATATGGCAACAAGAATAGATTACATTGACAGCAATGCAAAGATTTTCTTTCATTATTTATTTTGATTATTAAGGGAAACTAATCTAAAGAGGGAACAAAAATCTATGGTTATACCATGCTATAGAGAGAAATTAAAGATCATATATGAAGTAAAAATCACTTAAATAGCATGAAAAACTAAATGGTTTGACTCGTGTTTCTTATTTTCATGAAATACAAGTTCACAACAGAATGAATTGAGATATGTTGATATCTGTAGTTTCCTTTCAATTTCTGTAACACCCACTATTTTATTCAATGATTTTTCCGATAATCTCTACTACGGAGTACATTTTACAATGAGCTATAGAACTAGCCCCTAAAAATACATGTTTTGGTGGCCTTGCTGGCTCCCTAAAAATAGTTAAGCATAAGCCCTGATAACATTCTCAAACCTTATATGTACAAGAAAGAAAAAAAAATTTTGACAGCAAGTGCTGCCACCAGTTGTTTTCCATCTAGTCAACATTTCAAAATTAGCAAAATCACGATGCCAAACAAAGTTGAAATAAAAAAAGAACTTATAATACTAAAATAGAGCAGAGCACAGACAGTCCATTATATAGCTTTGTGTTTAACAACAAATATAAAAACAATATTTCAATTACTTGGATAGTTGAAATAATTGAAAATTTATATTTGTCAGTTATTTTTATGTCAATTTCATTGTAATTTTGATTAATCAATTATTGAAATAATCAAAAGCAGCAATAATCAGAAACAAAAATTTCATTTAATGAATTCAACCATAATTTGATCAGTTTATTAGTTTGTGTGACACTAATCATTGTAAACACTGCTCATACATAATTTGTTAAATTGCCTAGCTCTAGTGGTGGTTCCCTCTCAAAAGCACCAAAGTTCTGTGTACAACAACCACCACAAACAATGTCAGAAAACTAATCACTACAAAATTCACAAGTGTATGTTTGACTTTCTACAGCAGATTGTACTCAGTATGCCAAGTGAGGCCTAACTAGTCATTCATAGAAAGATAATTACCCCTTTTGATTTGTCATCAATAAGTCTATAAATATAACCTAAAATTCTATTGCCTTTACCACTAGCACAGAGCACTGCCTTAATGGTTTGAATGACTTATTCACCAATATGCCAAGATGTTTTTTCTTCAGTCATGTTAGTGTCTGAGTTCCCACCTGCATGTGAGATCAAAATTATAACTTAAATGAAGTATTCTGATTAGTAACAATCCTTACCTCATTATAAAATTTCTCATTGACACCATCTACCTGATCAGGTGGCCTATAACAAATGCTAATCAAAAACTTTGTTCCATTGAAGTTGACTGTAACACATCAGATATAAAATCTTCACTATCATTTTTTTGTCTTCCTCCCCAACAGGCTGCATTTCATCCCTTACACCACATCCCTCTTTTAAAAAGACTATCATTATGAAATAGCCTATAACCTGAACATCTAACCATGTTTCAGTAATTCTCTTTTCAACTTGAGTCCCAGACTCATCCATTTTGTTCTTAATACTCTTAACATTAGAATAATAGCAAATATGCTTATTCTTGAATTTAATATTTTTATCTTCAATCTAAGAGGCTTATCTCTAAAACTATTATTTAACTTGTTATGCTCTAAATCTAACTTCAAACTCCTTGTTGCCATAGCTATCCCATCAATTTGTTTATTTTCAATTTCCCAAGCTTCCTCAACACTGTGTAAGTTCAAACTATTTTTAAGAAATATTTTTAGAGTTCCTCCAAACACCCTACCATCCAACCTGCTTAAATGGAGCCCAACTCTACCATATAATTCACTCTTATCCTGAAAATTATCTCACAGATCCAACCAACCCACTAGTTGTTAAAAGCTTATCCCTGATAATTTTTAAGCTTTGGATTCTGTTGGATACATTACAATTGTGTTTAGGCATCCTGTAAATTTTTTTATGTGTAACTGAGACAAAATCTGATGTTAAATGTAGTGTTCACTGGTAATAAATTCATAAACTATGAGAGTAACTAAACCATATGGTTTGAATAACAAAAAACATTCATATTAATATAACAATTCTTTATCCACATGAAAAAATAACACTAAAAATCAGCAGCCATCAGATAATTATGTCAGAAATGAAAACTAAAAATTGGAGGAATACGTTATAAATGGAATGTCATGAATCTTCATCATATATATTAATACTTTTTATTCACTTGATATTCTAAAGTTAAGCTTAACTAGTTACTAATTTCTATCATATCACACTTAGTGATATCTATTCTAATGTTCTTTACTGTAAACACATACATTATTAATAATTCCTCTGTGATAAAAAATTTTTTCATGCTGTTTGAATTAAGATATCTGTAGTAGCACGAATATGGTATAATTACATGTAGTTGGGTATCCTAACCAACACACACTACTGTATTAAAAACTTTCCCACAAACAGTATACAAATGTTTTGGCCAGTTAAATTAAAAATATCAGCTATAGAGAGAGGAAGGAAAATGTCCAAGTGATAGTGGTAAGGCCTCTCAATCACTGTATGTAACTTATTAAAATTTTGACATTGCATTTCATGTAAACCTCTAATGTGTAATCAATTTATCATTATTAATACAACATACCACTACCATGACAAACTGCAACTGTGAGAAAACATTTTTTACATTCTCTCTCTCTCTCACACATAACCTCAGCAAAACTTACAATTTTTTTATATTTCAACAGTTTCCTTGGGCTTTCATATATAACTTATTATAATGAATGATAATTATGTCTGACAACATCATAATACATTATGACACAATTAGTACTTAATTTTAAAAGTAAAATTTGTACTCATTGTAATTCGTTGTACAAATTAATTTGAAACAACTGACTCAAAACGTTATGTTTTTTTAAAGGAGTCGGGCGTGCTCTACGCAGGTATGCAATACTAATACTGATAAGGAGTTTACTAGTGCTGCTACAGTGTTAGTACTGTAGTAACACTAATAGTAGTATATTTAATCAAGTTAACGAATCATAAGACTGGGGTCACAGCACTCAATTATACTATACCTAGTTTAAAAATACAGCCTTAGAACTCTTGAACTTTACTTATTACTTCAAATTAACAACTTGGTAACCAACTTCAACTGTTAGAGATACTACTAGTGATACTGTGATAGTATTACCAAGAGAAGAAATGCGCCAGCGCTAAGCAGTAGCATTTTTATTTTTTAAATTAACACATAGAATAATAGCCTATTTTAAACGTACTCAAATAAGACATTAAAACGAAATATTTTAATAGCATAAATAATCACTCATATTTAATTTCAATAAGTTTAATTTTAACATTAACTTACCTTCACATGCTGTCTGCTCCAACGACATGATTAAATTTAGTATTGCCCTCTAACGGCTTTCTTTAGAGTAAATAAAGTTCTTACATTCTTTAAAATATTCCACTTAGTAAAGACATAAATATATTTATCATTAATCATTTTGTCTGATTTAGATTGCATTATTAAAGTTAAAGATTATTTCTAGATTTTGTAAACCAGCATAATGTAAATATAATACCGTTTTTCAATTATCATGTTATTTGCTTTAACTTAAAAGTCTTAAAGTACGATGGCGTAAGAACATTTCAGAGAACTTCGGTCTCATCATGTTCATACTCTAACGTCAACTGATTAAGTATTAGGAGCTGATCCCTCACCTGAAAGCCAGATACTTCGCAGGATGTAGAAGAGAGTTCATTTACTGATGCTACCAATGGCTTTCTGGCTGTATGCTGTTCCATTGATACCCTATCTCTTGCTTTGTCTAGCTACACCATGCGGTATTTTCTTTCCACCAATGTCGTTCCCTCTGAATGTCTATGAGGACCTTCTTTGGTTGCTGTTTTCATCTTATTAGTATAGAAGAGTTCGATATCCTACTGATAAAGTTGTGGTAGATTTATTATAGGGACTGTTTTTGCAAGTTTGTTATCTTCTTCATTTAGCTTTACCCCTCCATAACCAGAATGTTGTCAATAAATGTAGCACACATCTGGTTGGACTGTCAAAGCAGGCTAGATCCATGATGCAAATGTTGAAGAGGACTGGTAAGAGTAGTGAGACATATTGGTATTGATGGTGGTCCACTCTGATTGCCAGCTTCCTTGCTTCATGATGCATCTTCCGGTAGTTAGTCCACTTCTTCAGAACCGGAGGTAGCCTGTTAGAGGCCAAAGCAGAGGATAAAACATGGCTGTTCCACTGCGCATGCGATTACGTTTCTGTTATTTTGTACACAATACAAATAACAGAATACTTAATATAACACATTCTTTCAGTCAAAATAAATATATCTTGCAGTGTAGAAAAAAAAAACAGCTTAAAATTTTAAATGCATATTTTAGAGAATAAAACACGATAAATTCACCCGGGAATTTATAGGCTTACCTTTTCGATTAACATTTAGTAACACCTCCCTAACCAAACCCTTAATATGATATAAAAACGCACGTAAGTGCCAGCACTCGATCACTTTAATCACTTCACATTGCTACAGATAATCAAGCAATTAATTGTCGTTGTTACGAAAACATGTTATAATTTAAGTGAAATAATGATCAAACTTCAAACAAAGAAACACTGAACATATTAATTATGTAAACCGAAAGTATTCTAGAAATTTTTCAATAGATAAATACAATAAATGTTTGAGTATACAATCTGACACTTTCCCAACACGTGCTGATGCCTGTAACACATTACTGAACAAGTTAAAAATTATAACATATTGCTAAATAATATTAATTTTCTCTAAGGCATAAATGCTAATTCAGTCAAGGTAAAAGTAAAAATATAAATAATTTAGAAGGGACACCACCATGTTTTTGTGTTCAATTGATTTTTCAGCTAAATCATTCAGACGGTATTTCAACATGATTGGGGGCATATAGTTATTCACTTGTCTCAAATGTGAAAATATTCTCTCTCTCCTCACGCCACAGTTACAATCAAAAGGAGTCACAATGCGAGGGTAAGATTTGGGTACAGATTCAACAATTTTTCTGTGTAGATATAACAGAACATCTCGAGAGATGAACTGGACACAGCAGCTGGTAAAGCATTTACAGCTGAGCAGATCTCGATATTCAAGTCAACACAATAAATGTCACTTGTTTTCAGAACCAAATGTTTGCACCTTTCACATTAGATATTTGTATCTAAAATCGTAATCCCCTTTACATTACGTGAAGTTTTATTTATAGGCATTAGAAACATTCAGTTGATGGGTCTAATTAGGTAGAAAGTATAGAAGAATTGTACACCAAATTATATGTATTATACACTGAGTGGTCACAAGTAAATAGACACTTAATTTTTTGTCATTTAACTGATTTATGCTAACTAATTTGTGTTCACAGAGCACTATATAAATGAAAATGGTCCACACACTAATTATCTTGTCCTACACCATGCCTAAAACTCAAGGTTCTCTCCAATTGTCAGATTTTGTTAGAGGAAGGATAGTTGGTTAAGCAGATGGTGGAATAAGTC